GATTCCTACAGCTCCGTTTTTTTCCCTCAAGACTGCTTTGGCTATTCAGGGTCTTTTGTGTCTCCATACAAATTTTAAGATTTTTTGTTCTAGTTCTGTAAAAAAATGCCATTGGTAATTTTATAGGGATTGCATTGAATCTGTAGATTGCTTTGGGTAGTATAGTTATTTTCACAGTGTTGATTCTTTCAATCTAAGAATGTGGTATATCTCTCCATCTGTTGGTATCATCTTTAATTTCTTTCATCAGTGTCTTATAGTTTTCTGCATACAGGTCTTTTGTCTCCCTAGATAGGTTTATTTCTAGGTATTTTATTCTTTTTGTTGTAATGGTAAATGGGAGTGTTTCCTTAATTTCTCTTTCAGATTTTTCATCATTAGTGTATACGAATGCAAGAGATTTCTGTGCATTAATTTTGTATCCTGCAACTTTACCAAATTCATTGATTAGCTCTAGTAGTTTTCTGGTGGCATTTTCAGGATTCTCTATGTATAGTATCGTGTCATCTGCAAACATTGACGGTTTTACTTCTTTTCCAATTTGTATTCCTTTTATTTCTTTTTCTTCTCTGATTGCCATCACTAGGACTTATAAAACTATGTTGAATAATAGTGGTGAGAGTGGACATCCTTATCTTGTTCCTGATCTTAGAGGAAATGCTTTCAGTTTTTCACCATTGAGAATGATGTTTGCTGTGGGTTTGTCGTATATGGCCTTTATTATGTTGAGGTAGGTTCCCTCTATGCCCACTCTCTGGAGAGTTTTTATCATAAATGGGTGTTGAATTTTGTCAAAAGTTTTTTCTGCATCTATTAAGATGATTATATGGTTTTTCTTCTTCAGTTTGTTAATATGGTGTATCACATTGATTGATTTGCGTATACTGAAGAATCCTTGCATCCCTGGGATAAATCCCACTTGATCATGGTGTATGATCCTTTTAATGTGTTGTTGGATTCTGTTTGCTAGTATTTTGTTGAGGATTCTTGCATCTGTATTCATCAGTGATACTGGTCTGTAATTTTCTTTTTTTGTAGTATCTTTGTCTGGTTTTGGTATCAGGGTGATGGTGAGGCCTTACTATTTTCTAGGCACTATTAACAGTGCTCTACATGCATTGTCTCACTTAATCCTCACTACAGCTCTATGAGTTCGTTAATCATCTGCATTTCAGAGGTGAGAAAACTGAAGCACCGAAAGATTAAGCAACTTGTCAGAACTGTGCTGCTTGTAAATGGTAAAGCTGTTTGCCCAGGCAGATGACTGTAGGCTGTAGGCTTTTCAACACTGTGATAACCTCTTATCTCTATAGTCAAATAAGCCTATATGTTAGGGCTGCCTAAAACACTTATTAGCAAAACAAATTAGTCACTCTGAACTTAAGTTTCCCTGTCTATAAAATAGTTACACATAAAACTTGTGGGACAGTTAATGTGTTATATGTCTCACGGTGCCTAGCATATAATATTATTACTTCTCATGTTTGTAACCCTAAATAACTTCCAATCATCTTTGACTTACTCCTTACTCTTCCTTTACCTAACCTGCTACTAATGCAAAGTTCACTAAGTCTTATCTCTTGGATTCTCTTCTTTGCATTCCCGTTGCCCCAAGCTTTGTTCACTCTTACCAACCCCTTCTTCCAATACTGAAAATACCTGACTCCTGAATGATCTTTTTGCAAGTCTTTTTCTCCTATAATCTCATGTCCAGGTTAATCTTGCTAAAAGTATAGCCTTTTCAATGTTCTATCATGAGAAAACTGTAACTACACTACCATCTGCCTTATTCTATTTGGCTTCTGAAGCCAGCTTTTCTATGCCCTAATTCTACTGATTCAGCCTAATCTCTCATTGTTCTCTAACATGATCATATCAGTCAATCTGGTTACCCTCCCTCTTGCTTTCCCCACTTTTAAAAATGCCACCCCCTTAGCTTTATTCCTGTTAGGTCTTGATTCTGAAATGTCTTCTTTCTTCTCTAATTTCTTGTCCTTTAAGTCCTCACTTGGTTTCTGTCTTTTCATGAATTCATTACCAACTATTCTGACCTGCAGTATTCTTTCTGTTCTCTGAAATTCCTACAACTTAGATTTTAAACCATCCAATTGTCATTAAACTCATCTCTTTGACTAGATTGTAAATATTACAAATACACTGCTACACAGTTAGTAATGCTCTCAATAGATTAACTCTTGATTACTTAATCTATTAAGGCTTTCTTTTTTTGAGTTGAACATTTTCAGTGAAATTACAAAACCGTTGCTTTAGCTTCTGAATATTGAACACTATAATAATATTTAATATCAAGTCTTGTTATGTGATTAATTAAAACTTGCTTAGAATACCAAGGTAAAGTGTATTTAAATATTATTATTACTAAGGTAATATGTATATTTTAATATAAAAGAAATCAAGTAGCAAAATATATTCTAACCATTTATAGTGTAATTTAAAATATACTTTATGAAATTAGAAAACATTGTATAAGAAAGTTATCTAATCCAGTGAGTCTTTTTTTTAATTTATTTTATTCAAGTATAGTTGATTTACAGTGTTGTATTAATTTCTGCTGTACAGCAAAGTGATTCAGTTATGTGTTTATATATATATATATATATATATATATACACACACACATACACACACATTCTTTTTCATACTCCTTTCCATTATGGTTTATCACAGGATATTGAATATAGTTCCCTGTACTGTACAGTAAGACCTTGTTGTTTATCTATTCTGTATATACCAATTTGCATCTGCTAATCCCAAACTCCCACTCCTACCCTCTCCTACCCCCACCCCCTTGGCAACCACCAGTCTATTCTGTGTCCCTGATTTTGTTTCTGTTTCCTGGATAGGTTCATTTGTGTAATATTTTAGATTCCACATATCATGATATCATATGGTATTTGTCTTTGTCTTTCTGACTTACTTACTTAGTATGGTAATCTCTAGGTCCATCCACGTTGCTGCATATGGCATTGTTTCTTTTTTATGGTTGAGTAGTATTTCATTGTGTATATGTACCGCATCTTCTTTATCCATTCATCTGTTGATGGACATTTAGGTTGTTTCCATATGTAATCCAGTGAGTTTTAAAGTGTGTTCTGAGGACTCCTAGATCCTGAGACTCTTTCAAGGAGGTGCAGTAGGTCAAAACTATTTTTATACTAATTTTAAGATGTTATTTGCCTTTTTTTCACTGCGTTGACATTTGCAGTTGTAGTTCAGAAAGCAGAGGATAAAACTGCTGACGCCTTTAGATGAATCAAGGAAGTGGCACCAAACCTTA